GACCGAGGAGAGCTGCACGCAGTACAACGTGCTCCAGACTTTCGCGCCACCGGATCTCTCGGAACTGTCTCGGACCCTTCTCGCCACTGCCGTGCAGGTGCTCAAGATCTCGCGCCACCGGATGCTGTGGCGCGCAGAGGCGGCCGAGGCGGACTACTACGAGCGTGCGCTGTGGAACGGGATCCTCGGCAACCAGAAGCGCGTCGCCGGCGCGCCGAACGAGCGGCGGCTCGCGCCCGCCCTTCTTTTTCTTCCTCAGCGCCTTGCTTCTCACAGGCGCGGCCACACGAGCCGTCTCGGCTCCCCGCGTCTCGCCTTCTTGGCACCCGGAGCCCTCGTGTCATAGGCGCGCCCACGAGCTACATCTACATGCTGCCGCTCGGCGGCGCGGTGCGCAAGGCGTGGGGCAAGTCGGACTACGGCTTCCCTTGCTGCTGGGGGACGCTGTCTGAGTCTTTCGCCAAGCTCGGCGACTCCATCTTCTTCGGCGCGCGCCGCAAGCGGCCGAGATTCGCCGAGATGTGCCGACGTTCGCCGAGGTTGCACACCGACGGCTCGGCGCGGCGGTCGGACATGCACATGTATATGTTACATGTACATGTCATGTTGTTGTGCATGTGCATGCACATGTCCATGTCCATGTCCATGTCCATGTCCATGTGCATGTGCATGTGCATGTGCATGTGTCCGCGCGACATGCCCGCGTCCGGAACATGTCCGGGACGGGTCCCGCAGGTGCGCCCGACGGTTCTGCGCTCTACGTCTCGCAGTTCATGTCCGCGTCCGTCTCGTGGCGCGGCGTCACGCTCACGCAGACCGCGGCCTTCCCCGACCACCCCGCCACCACCTCCACCCTCCGGCTTCGCGTGCCTCCCGGCGCCGCGTCGCGATTCTCGCTTCGGGTGCGCGTGCCCGGCTGGCTCGTAGACGGCTCAGGAGCGGTGACGGTCAACGGGGAGCCGGTCGGCGCGCGGCTCTCGCCCTCCACCTTCCTCTCCCTCGACCGCGTCTGGGCGGACGGCGATGAGGCCTCCTCCCCCCCCCCCCTCCGGACCCGGCCGACGAGGTCTGTCGATGTGGTCAGAGCTCTGTTCGTGACACGAATCAGGTCGTCCTCGCGTACCCGATGCGGCTGCAGGCCGAGCGGCTCAACGACCACCACCCGGAGCACAACGCGACCTTCGCCTTTTTGTACGGCCCGCTCGTGCTCGCCGGCGTGCACCTCACCTCCGACATCTTTGTGCCGCGCGGTGGGCAGGTCTTGCGGCCCAGACTCACACCGCTCACCCACGCGCACTGGGCCTTGCACTCTGAATGCCGTGCGGCTCCTGGCCACGAGGTAGTGCCACCCGCTTGCCCCAGCTCCGTGTCCTCTCTTGTGCGTGTGGAGACGCTGTGCCCCACCTCCCCGCAGGCCTACCGCACCGACCCGTCCGCCTTCCTCCGCCGAAACGCGACCGACTCGCTCGAGTTTGAGGCCGTCGCGGCCGGCGGCGCAAAGGCGAAGCTGATCCCGCTCTACCGCGTGGTGGACGAGACGTACGTGGCCTACTTCATGACGGCGGGGACAAAGCCGCCGCAGCCAAAGGTCGTCTACTGCCCCCACTCCGCCGGCGCGACCGCCCAGTACGAGCCGGCCGTCGACGACGGCGACGCGCTGCTCGTCTCGCGAGGCCCGCCGTCGGCGCCGGCGCGCGAGCAGCACGTCATCACTTCGCGCGGCGTGCACTGGCGGCTGCGAGACGGAGAGCTCCGCGCCGAGCCGGCGGATGAGGCGCCGGCGCCGGCGCAAGCGAGGCCAGTTGCCACTTGAGGGCGCTGACCAGGTGTTGCGTGCGGCGGGCCTGGAGGCAAGTAGCGTGTGCGCCTGACACTGCTCTGGCCACCACAAGGAACCCATGACGTTTGACGGCTGCGTTTAAGTCGTCTTGTGAAGTCGTTCTCTCGCAATGTGAACAGCGTTAATTATGTGTGTGTGTGTTGCCTGTGCGGTTAGCGGAGTCTTCTTTAGAGGGCCCACAGCGTCCTAAACCTAATCTAAAATCTGAGGATTAAGGAAAAGGATTCAGACTTCGCTTACTTATAGTTATACTTTTTACGTATAGTGAGGCCAAAAAGTGAGTTTATGAGTGGGTGGAGAGTGTGTGATGTGAAAGCGAGAACGATGCGCGACACTAGGAGGCAGGCGGACCGACTCGTCGGCGACTCTGCTGCACGCCGTTTCAAAAAGAATTTCAGCGTCAGCGAGACGTGGAAGAGTGCCACCGTCGGGTGTAGGACCAACGTGAGAGTGTCGCCTTGCTTGGCGCTTGAAAAATCCGTCTTGTCCTTTCGCCTGCGGAAACGATCAGCTCCCCCATTCGTGTTACCCCGGAAGCTCCGACGAGTTCCAGCCCAGCTTCCTTTCCAAGGCCTAGCCGGTGGAGAGAAACCCGGCCACCGTCTGATGGCTGATGCCCCCGAGGTCCGGCAGGGCCCGGCCTTGCTGGTCGAGAAAGTAGCAGAGGCTCTCTTCCCACGAGAAGGGGCGAGTGAGGTTTTGGGCGCTCGGGGCGAGGGCCGCATCGGTGGTGATGGGCTCGAAGTGGGGCAGGCGGGGCGAGACGCCGAGGTTGCTCCCGGCTTGGGCTCGGACCCGCGTCCCGTCCATGGCGAGCTCGCGCATGTTGTCGAAGACGATGAGCCAATCCCCCTCGCCGGTCTGCGCGAAGCCCGCGGGGACCACCGCATCCCAAACCGAGTGCCCCGAGCCCACGACGCGCACCTTCTTCCCCTCGGCGCGGGCCTGGCGAACGATCCCCTGCACCTCCATCTCGCTCTGCGGATGCCAGACGTTGACGTCCGGGAGGCCTTTGGGAACCACGGGGTCGGGGTCCTCGCGCGCCGAAAAGGCATTCTTGACGAAGTCGCCAATCTGGCGAGCGGGCGGGAGAGGGAGGGGATGGGCACGCGGGAGGGGGCGCAGGGAGGGGCTTCGGGGGCGGCGCGGCTGGGTCGGCAGGCCGGGCGGCGGCTGTGGCGGGCAGTGGTGGTGAGGGTGGCGGCGGGGGCGGGCCTTTGCGAAGATGTTTTTGTCTTCTTCGGTTGACGCCTCCGGCTCAGCCTCGGCGACGGGAGCCTCGGCCTCTTCCTCGGTTGGCGCGGGCTCCGCCTCCGCCTCGGGCGACGGCTTCTCCGTTGCCACCGGCTCCTCCTCCACCGGCTCCTCAGGCACCGCGCTCGGCTTCGGCTCCTCTGGCTCGACGACCGTCTTCTCGGCCTTTTTTGAGCCGCAATTTCCCATGGCTTGTGGTGGTGGAGGTGACGGCTGCGGGGAGACGAGAAGGGTGTGAGCGGCGCCGCAGCCGAGAGGGGCACGGGGGTAGGGAGGATGGCCAGTACACGCCTACTTTCGAGTGTTTTGGATCTGCGAGGGCGCAGGCGGCGGCGGGAGAGCGTCAGCAGCATAAAATGGGATGAGGGTGGGCGCGTTCGCGGCTCCTCGAATGCAACGGCCGCAGCTGCGAGCATAGCCGGTGCGGCTGGAGAGGCGCAGCCGCTCGCGGGAAGAGCGTGGGCGCGTCGCATGGTAGGCCGGTCGCTCCCCCGTCTTTGGGCCCTGTTGAGTCGTTTCGGAAGTTGAAGTTGGCGCATCACAAAGAACCCAAATCCAACCCTGCCAACCGAGCAAGCCCATGGGGGACGCGAGGTCTTGCTCCACCTTCTCGGCGCTCGCGTCGCCCAACCTGAGAGCCTCATCCGCCATGCCGGGGCACATCTTGACCGGAGCCGGTCACATGTCCATCGTGCCCAAGACGGGGCACGGTCGACTCGACCGCGGCCGATGGCACCGGCCCAACGGCCGACCAAGATTTTACGCCTCCGAACGCCGGGCCGGTGAGGTGGCGGGTCGGGCGACACGGAAAATCGGTGGCTGACAACGACTTTTTGAGGCCATCGGTTTGAGGTCTGCAGACATTTTCTGGATGATCTCGCATTTCCCGAGGCGTAATCGCAGATCCAGACGGCCCAGCAGGTGGGCGCTGCAGGCGAGCCGCCTCACATCCTTCGCCCCCCCCGTCGCTCACGCTGCCTCTGAAGCACCGGACCACCCCCCCCGCGCCCAGGCGGCCTAGCTGCCGCGGGCTCCACCCACGCGGGCCACCATCAGCGCCGCCCGACGGCTCAGAACCTCTCTCTTTAGGTCCCACAAAAGGCGGCGAGCGAGCGGCGAGGCAGATGAATCGAGCTCTGGACGCATGCCGCGAGAGCTGTGAGGGTCGCAGCTCGGCCTCCATCTTGCCCGGTAGTGGCGCGTCGGCTTGCCGGCTCACGGGGGTCACTGCCCCTAGGTGCCGCCTCACCTCGCCTCTATGCACCCTTCACCCTCTAGCGCCTCACCCTGCCCGGTGCCGTGGTAGTGGCGGTGTCAGCCATGCTGGACCGGCGGCAGCGAGGCCGACGGGCGTGGCTGCGGCGACAACGGCGGCTTGGCCCGTGACGGCGACGGCGCTGACGGCAGAGCAGCTGCGGCCGGCACGGGCGGGTGCGGCCGAGCAGCGCGGCGCTCACAGCAGGCGGCCGGCGTGGCGGCGGCGACGGCGCCGCACGAGGAAGCGGTGGCGCAGCCGCGCATGACAGGTCCGGCGCGTGTCGAGCAGCGAGGTGGCGCGCCGCGCTGCCGACGCGCCCCCAGGCCGGAGGCGGCCGCCGCGTGCCGAGCCGCGGGCTGTTGGTGCTTACAGTCTGCGGCGGCGGCGCCGCCGCCGCGGAGCGAGGCAGCGGCGGCGGCGGCGGCGGCGGCGGCGGCGGCGGGGGATGCGGCGGCTGCACGTTGTGCCTCGAGGCGTCGCTCGCGGCGCTGGTGCGGCGCGTGGTTGGCTGACGAGGTTGCGCGCGCACGGCGCACGAGGGTGTAGTCACGTCCCTCGGCTCTCGCCACCGCTGTCGCCGCGCGCTCCGCGTTCGTTGTCGCCGGCGCTGCCCGCCTCGAGCCACTGCGGCCACTGCCGCGCGACGTTGCGCCGCGCCATGCTGGCCGTCGCTCTCTCGACGTTGTGGAGGAGGCTCTGTCCCACGTCGAGAGGAGGCGTTCCCGCGGTGATATTGACCCAGCTCTGTTGTCTCTAGGCTGCGTCGGCACGGGAGGCGCTGCGGGCGGGAAGGTGGAGCGGGCTGCGGAGCGGCAGATTAGTGGCAGTGGCGACGGGCGGGGCGGCAGCGAGCAGGGTGGCGAGTGAGACGTTGGAGAGGCGGGGCTGGGGAGGCTGGTGCCGGTGCCACTACAGGCGGTGCAGGTGCGGTGTGCTACTGTAGTGCTCGCTCACCGGAGCGAGCGCGGCGGTCGGACCGTCCTGGCAAGGGCCGCTGACCAGGACGGTCGCCAGGAGTCGGCTTGCACCGCGAGAGCGGCGAGGCGGGGGGAGAGGCTTGGTGAGGGTGTCCGCGGTGGTGCCGGTGTGTTAGTTAGGGGGAGAGGCGCGGGCCGGGGGAGCGGGAGGGGGTGGGGGGGGGTGGAAAATTTCGATACCCTAAGGTGCCCTGGTGATCCTGGGTTAGCATCGTCTCTTCTGAGCCCGCTCTTGATGGGTTGGAAGCGTTTTCATAGCGAATTCACGCCGATTTTGCCATACGGACGTCCCTGGCGCGCGCTCTTGAAGGCCTCATCCTGGGATGGTGCTCGCCAGCGTGAGTTCATACAGTGCTGCGAGCTGGCCTAAGGCCGGACCTTACGACGGTCCAGCGCTGGGCAGCGTGATGGCTCTTACTCGAGGCGCGACATGAGTGTACGAGGACCTCAACGTCTCGGTTTGGCGAACCAGCATGAGGAGCGGAGCCGCTGTAGCTCCTCCCTGCAGCTTGCGCGTCGCGGTTTGGCCGACGTCCCATCCACCGCGCATACTGCGGCGGCTCTCCAGCTCAAGAAGGCTGCGCTCGACCACCACATCGCCCGAGTCAGTGGTCCGGACGCCCCGCTGAGCCTCGCGCCGCAGTGCAGCCAGTTTGCGCGGCCGTGATGCGCGAATCGAACCGGTGCGATGTTGTTCGGCACTCTAGATGGCCTGAACATGCTTGCGTTCAAGTCTTGAGGTCTGCGCTTAAACTTGAAAATTTAATAAAATCGGGTCCGACCGGCCTACGCATGGCGGGGGTGGTGCGGATGCGGCGCGATTTCCGTTAAGAGCAGGTGTCGCGGGGGTATTGGGCGCGCAGCTCGCGGCGGCCTTCGGTGGCGTGATGCGGCGGGGCTAGCGCGAGAGGGAGCGGAAGATGCATGAAAACCTTGATGGAGGAGTCAGGCAAAACGCCGTCAGAGGGAGTGGCTGATGACTACAATCAAAACCCCTTTTTTTTTAATTCTCGCCCAGTCCCGTGCACAGTGTTGTGCGATCCCTCCAATTCTTTTCAAGTGTGTGCTGTCATAGACAAACCGAAGAACTTGGAGCACTTGGAGTGCAGTCATCAACCTCACATCCAGGGCCGGGGAGCTGAGGAGCGCACCCAGCGGGCCGCGGCTCGGCTCCACCAGGACTCGTTGGTTGCGCACCATCACACACACACACACCGCTCACCCACGCGCACCGGGCCTTGCACTTTGAATGCCGTGGGGCTCCTGTCGTTAGACGTGGAGACGCGAGGGTTGCCCCCCCTTGCCCCACCACCTCGTGTGTGTGGAGAAGTTTACCTTACCTTACCTTACCTCTCCTCTCCTCTCCTGTATCCTCCCCTCTCTCGTCTCTTCAGTCATACCGAGTCTCGTGTTCGAAGGGGGCCGGGGGTTCACGTGGCTACGCCCCACGCCCCACCACTTTCGGGGCACGGGGGGACCATGTCCTCTCCACGCTCCAGTCCCGTTTGTGAGGGCAAGCTCCAGCAGTCTTTCTATTTACCTGAGGACCTGTCGCGCAATATCCAATATATAAAGCGGTCAACGCGAGAGAGGCTGAGGGGGGCTCAGCTGCGCAAGCGGCGACAAAAAACAGAGGCGCACCGACACATCTCGCGAGCTGTCACAGCAGCTCCCTCGCCGACTGGGCAGCAACCGCTCGCCCCTCGTCATCCGGCGGCGTCGCGTTCGGCGGCGGCGGCGGCGGCGGCGCGCCGCGGCGCGGGAAGGACTCGCTGCGGCCGCCTCCGCGGCGGCTGGGCTGGCGCGGGAAGGAGAGCGCACGGCTCACTCGGTCGAGCAGCGACAGCCCGCTCGGCGGCTCGGCGGGCGGCGGCTCGGGCGCCTAGGGAGGGCTCCTGGAAAGCTCCTCGAAGGTCCGTACGCCCGGCGGGCGGCGGCGCGGGGCGCCCAGCGGCGGCGCGCGGCGCGCTGCAGCCGCTCGGCGGCGGACTCGCGCTGCCGCTTGATGAGGTAGTCGACGCGGCGCTTGCCATCGATCTCGGAGCCGGGCAGCACGCCTAGGTCCGGGGGCGGGGTTGGGTGCTACGGGTCGGGGTGGGGTGCTGCGGGGTGAAGTGGGGGTGAGGGTGAGGGTGAGGGTGAGGGTGAGGGTGAGGGTGAGGGTGAGGGTGAGGGTGAGGGTGAGGGTGAGGGTGGGGGTGAGGGTGAGGGTGAGGGTGGGGGAGAGGGTGAGGGGAGAGGGTGCGGTTCGATCGTGTGGCCGGGGAGCAGCACCGTTGCCGGCAAAGACAAACTTGCGCGAGCCGCAGAGGCGGGCCTGCAGGGGAGGGGGCGAAGGAGCACGCGGCGGAGGCGACTCGCCGACTGTCTCACCACCGTCTGCAAGCCGTCTCGGAGCTGTCTCGGAAGCGTCTCAAGGTCGACTCTGCGGTCTCTCGGAGGCTCTCGGAAGGCGCCTGCAGGTTGAAGTGGTGGAAGAGGATGAGCGCGGCGAGGCAGAGCGGGAAGAAGAGCAAGTAGTAGTCGTAGCGAGGCGAGTAGGAGGGGCCTCCGTGCGACGCGTCAAACACGAGGCGCGACCTGTTCACAGCTGGAGCCGTGAACGGCGCCTCCTCGCAGCTGCGGCGCGCGGTCGGCGTCGAGGCGCGACCGCTTGGCGAACAAGCAGTAGAGGAAAGTTTGCGGCGTGTGCCACCCGTGCGCGTCGGGTCCGAGCAGGAGCAAGTTCACGTTGTACGCAATCACGATCGAGATCTTGCAGA